GAGCCGGAACGGCTGTGATAAAATCTAACAACCCTCACCTGGCAGGTGGGGAAAAATTGCTTTAGTTTTAGGCTGGTTGGTGGTTTGGAACATGTTTTCCATATATTGGGAATTTCATAATCCCAACATATCCCAACTGACTTTCATATTTTTCAGAGGGGTGGGTCAACCACCAACCAGTAGGGATTTGTGTTGAATTCGTGATTTGCGTTGCTAGATTTCCGTGATGGCCACCGAAATGTTCGGAACCCGTGACATGTGAAGGTCCAAACGTTCCTGCGTATGTTACATGATGCCCGATACAAATAGTTTCTCAGAGAAAGTATTTTGATTGCTTGGTTAAATGAGTGAAATGAAACGAAGCGAAGTGAAATGGCATGGACCATGGAATGAAATGGGCTGGTGAAAGCAGTGAAAAGATGGAGATTTCACTGGGAAAAAGGGGAACGATATGCGGGGCTGAGTGGGAAAAACTGGAAGATAAGATATGGGATTTCAATGGCAAATCAGAAACTTCTTGATGGTTTCAGCAAAATTGATCAGCTGATCAGCTGGTTTTTAGATGGAGGAACAGTGTGTGAGACAATGTCTGTTTCGATTTCGGTTGCCTAAACTCACACAAATCATGGTGGCGTCATGTTACTTCAGTTCTGCTGTACTAAAAATAGAATACCGGGTTCTTGTATTTTTGCTGTGAAGCAGTGGGGAAAAGAAACCGATCCTCCATTTCTTGTGCAGTCATCCAATCACCTTTTCTTTCCGGAAAGCACAATGGCTCAAATTGACTAAAAGAAGGAGTCTCCAAGAAAATCAGCACATGGGCAACTGAAAGTATTTTCGTTTGTTGGCAGCTGACAGGTGTTGGCATCCAGTGGCTTATCGATGGCCGTTACAAGTAATGTAATTAAGCCTAACGCAGGACCACATCCAACAGCCAGTAAAGGTATATTTGATGCTGCTAGCAATTCATCAACAAACAGTGCCTACAGTGCCTTTGTTTGGTAGACAACTTTTTGAAACAAAAAACATGTTCACAAAGTCCGATATTTGCTGATCCATCGGGAGCAGGAGCAGGAAGACCAATGACGTCCAGCGGTGCGGGTGGCTATTCAGGACCGGCTGGCTGTGAAGCAATTGAGATTCAGGTGCTATGCCTCAATGGTGAAGGATGCAACTTCCCCGTGAGTGGGTCCACTCCAGGACATGAAGTGCGTCAGATGGTTCTGCAGCGACTTCCTTCAAAGAAGGGGAGAAGATGTGGCGCACTATATCTTGAAAACTCACCACTGCTGCTCGACCAAACGTTGCAAGAGCAAGGCATTATAGGTAAAACTGTGACGCTCTCCTGCACGTTTGTTCCTACAGATTTGCATGCTGCATTTTGCTACATCAACGGCTTGCAAGTCTCTGCGGGGGAGTGTGCACTAGACGGAGTGACAAAGCTGGAAGGTGTAAGCTCCGATGTGTATTTACAGCATCTTCCCCCAAGTCTTAAGACCCTTGCTTTTCACGCTCAATTCAACAGGAGACTGCAGACAGTGAGCTTGCCAAGCGGTCTTCAAAGTTTGACATTTGCAAATGATTTCAACCAGAGGCTGGATGGAGAGAGCTTGCCAAGCGGTCTTCAAAATTTAACATTTGGAAATGAATTTAACCAGAGGCTGGATGGGGTGAGCTTGCCAAGCGGTCTTCAAATTTTAACATTTGGAAATGAATTTAACCAGAGGCTGGATGGAGTGAGCTTGCCAAGCGGTCTTCAAAGTTTGAAATTTGGGCATCGATTCAACCAGACCCTTGACGGAGTGAGCTTGCCAAGCGGTCTTCAAAGTTTGACATTTGGAAGTGAGTTTAACCAGAGGCTAGGTGGAGTGAGCTTGCCAAGCGGTCTTCAAAATTTAACATTTGGAAATGAATTTAACCAGAGGCTGGATGGAGTGAGCTTGCCAAGCGGTCTTCAAAGTTTGACATTTGGGCATCGATTCACCCTTGACAGAGTGAGCTTGCCAAGCGGTCTTCAAAATTTGACATTCGGAAATGCATTTAACCAGAGGCTGGATGGAGTGAGCTTGCCAAGCGGTCTTCAAAGTTTGACATTTGGATATCGGTTCAACCAGACCCTTGACGGAGTGAGCTTGCCAAGCGGTCTTCAAAGTTTGACATTTGGAAGTGAGTTTAACCAGAGGCTGGATGGAGTGAGCTTGCCCAGCGGTCTTCAAAGTTTGACATTTGGATATCGTTTTAACCAGTGGCTGGATGGAGTGAGCTTGCCAAGCGGTCTTCAAAGTTTGACATTTGGAAATGATTTCAACCGGAGGCTGGATGGAGAGAGCTTGCCAAGCGGTCTTGAAAGTTTGACACTTGGAGATGTTTTTCACCAGAGGCTGGATGGAGTGATCTTGCCAAGCGGTCTTCAAAGCTTGACATTTAGGCATCGATTCAACCAGACCCTGGACAGAGTGAGCTTGCCAAGCGGTCTTCAAAGTTTGACATTTGGAAATGATTTCAACCAGAGGCTGGATGGAGTGAGCTTGCCAAGCGGTCTTCAATTGTTGACATTTGGGCATCGATTCAACCAGACCCTTGAGGGAGTGAGCTTGCCAAGCGGTCTTCAAAGCCTTTCTTGCGGATCTGTATTGGTGAGCGTCTTGTGATTTGCCATCTTTTCAGAATCTTGTGCAGAAAAGGTCCCAGATGGTTTCATCCTGTGGAGTTTCCATGCTCACAGACTTCACTCACACCCTGTCAAACTCCACTAACACAAAAAAATGCTGTAGTTTTAGGCTGGTCAGTGTTTTGGAATAATAATCCCAACTGACATTCATATTTTTCAGAGGGGTAGGTCAACCACCAACCGGTAGGGATTTGTGTTGAATAATGCCATTTCGTGATTTGTGCTAGATGATTTCCGTGATGGCCACCAAAATGTTCTCCCGGAGCCCCTCTGGTTGTGCCCAAATGATCCCCTATACAAATAGTCCCTGGTTTCGGCGAAAGTATTTTGATTGCCTTTTTGGAATTCTTCCCCGCATGATTGCTTGGTTTGAGTGAAACGAAGCGAAGTGAAATGGCATGGACCATGAAATGAAATTGATTGAATGAAACGAAATGAAATGACATGACATGACATGACATGAAATGAAATGAAATGGATGAAGGAATGAATGGGTCAGTAAATGTCGTGTTCCTGCACCGGAGTTGCACATATCTAAAATTATCTGCTGCGCAGGTGTTACAATGCATTAAGTAGCCTCCAGATGCATGCCCACATAGACTAAAACTTGCAATCTGGCATAGCACTTGTTCACACTGGTGAATGATATTGGTTCACCACATAGTCTTTGTCGCAATCCGGCACAATCGGATGGATGTCAAGATGTTACCGTTTTCACTTTGCACCTCAGTTCCATGTACGACTACCTTTCAATTTCAAGCATTTTGGACAAGCATATACGCGTATAAGCATACATGTTGCCATTCAAATCCATTGTCCACTATACTTGATTATATCCATTATCCATTAGTATTTTACTGTACATATACATTTACATCTCCTATATATCCACACGTACATTTTTTACACTACATGAACTACATTATTACTGTCCATTACATCCAAATTCGAAAACATATTCCACCAAATAATCCAAGTATACTCCATTACATGGAATATTCTACTTTCCATGAAGATCTTTTTTTTCACGGAGATTCCACTGCTTTTTCCACGTTTCCAGGTGGAGCAGCACAAGCGCGAAGCCGAACGTTTGGTGGAGCTTCGTCGTGAAATGTGCCCCCGGATCGACGGCCTGGCCTCGCAACTGAGGGTTTTTGGACGGGTTTTTGACCATCAGTCGTCGTAGAAAAATGGTGATGTGGAAAAAAAATATGGGTAAATATAGGTAAATATAAGCCCCAATTCTCACTTTTACCCATTACTTAGTATTTTGTACTTCAAATCAGCCATTTATCCATTTTATGGGTAAACATGTCATGGGGTGAGTTTGATGGGGATAGAAGCTGATCTCCCATTGAAATATAGCACGCAAAAATCGAGAAATTCCAACGAACCTCCCGGAAATACTTTGTGGATCTTTTTGGCATCTTTTCGACGGCATTCAGAATTGGCCACTTAGTGATTGTAACTGGGTTCATATCCAGACAATTGGCGTCCCATGGTTTTGAACACAATGATTTCATGGTGATTTACTGGGATCCAATGGGAATATCATGGGGCTATAGATTCTGTATTTGATGGGAATCCAATCCAGATTGGGATGTGTAAGGATACTTCAAAATTACCCTCTGGTAAACTAACATAGCTATTGAAAATGGCCCATTTATAGTTGATTTACCTATTAAAGATTGTGATTTTCCATAGTTATGTTTGTTTACCGGAGGGTATGTGGTTCATGTTTTTTTCCCATGAAACTTGCCATGCCCGTGTGGTCCTTAGTCGTCCCCAGCGGATGGCCGAAGGGTTGAGTGGTGCTGGACATATCATCTTTAACGATACTATGCCGCTGCTGGTGCGCGTTTCATGAGCTGGAATATGTCAGTTAATCTTGGTTAATCCACTTGAATCCATAATTGTGGGGTCTTTTCAATATCTGGTTGGTGGTTTGGAACATTGCTTTTTTTCCATATATTGGGAATAATACTCCCAACTGACAATGTTTGAATATAGCAAACTTACAATGATCACCAATGGGGAGACGATGAAGCCGCCATTTACAAGGTTGAAAATCTGGAAAATCCGGCGCTGAGATCACCGCACATTTCGGATACCTTCATGATGTCCATGTGAAAAAACTGATGGTTGGTTCAATTTCCAACTCATTGGGTTTTAATCCCCAGTTATACTCAGTTATAATCAGTTGGTGAAGAATGATTAAAACCCAACTAATAACGGGAAAATAGATGGGGATTAACCAGTTGCGGAATAGCTCTGGCTTTTCCTCTGGAGGTTTTCCAGTTCTATCCAATTCCAGTCGCAGATGATTGTCTGATTGTTCTTGATCCAGACCCATTTGGGTAATCATGATTTCCCTTTGCAAACTGCCATCTAAAACTGGGGTGTGCTTCAGTAAGTCCATTAAATCCATATCAAATGGATGTAATAACTAGGATATAATAAATTAATACATAACTCATGTTGGTACAACTACAATCATGGTTCCTTAAACTCCATCAACTTCCATATAGAATGGATATCCATTGAATATTTCCCCATCACGAAGCCCGAGCCCACCAGGTACGAGCTCGCGCGCGAGAAGGAGCGCGAAGAGCAGGACGCGCTGCGTGCGGATGAAGATCAGAGGAAGACCATCATCGAGGAGGAACGACGTAGGCGCGTTGAATGGTGACCCTTTGGTGCATGGGATAAGCCGAAAAAAGTAGAACTGATAGGAATCATAACAGTAACAGCAACAATGATAATAACAATGATGGATGGAAAACACCAAGAATGATTATGGATAGTAGTGGTAACTGATAGTAATAATAATGATACTAATGCTAGTGGTGGTAGCGCATGATATCCTTAGATTGAGAAACGAAGTTTCTAACTGGGAATATCCACCGGGTATACATAGCTCAGTAAATCATCAAACTAAATGGGCATTTAGGTTTGTCTGAATATTTGGGGAGAAAACAAACCAAAACCCATGGCTTATCACTATCTTCCCATGAAGATTACTGGCTTTTCTTACCCGCCCATCTTCAGACAGGTCAACACATCCAAAAATATCTAACGTGGCAGCCCCAAGAACAAAACCCTTTTTTTCCGGGGCAATTATGGTTTTTAATACCTCCAGATTATAAGTCACTGGGTAAATAAGATTTGGTTTCTGGGATTGGGTTTACCACTTTAAGTCGTTTGTCGATAAAAAACCAGTTGTAAATGGAGGGCTTGAACACCAAGATATCAATGAACCATTCCCCTATTGTAACTGGTTGGTGGTTTGGAGCATTTTTTATTATCCCCAATAGTTGGGATGATGATCCAATCTGACTTTCATATTTTTCAGAGGGGTTGAAACCACCACTTAGGTAATATCCAGGACCGTTGAAGGCAATCTTTTTCTGGCTCATCCCACTGTTCCCCACTGCAGGCAGGCCATTGGACACTGGTCAAGCATAAATCCCACTACGAAAGAGGTTCTGGTTGATCATCTCCCTACTGGGGATTTAGGAGATGATCAATTCTAAATGCTGGAGATGATAGACCAGAACATACCCTCTGGTTATTTAACATAGCCATGGAAGATTGCCCATTTATAGATGGTTTACCTGGGTTTACCTATTAAAAATGGTGATTTTCCATGGCTATGTTAAATAACCAGAACATAATCCTAATCAACAACTCTTGGGCTGTTCCACATTTCAAGACACCCCCATTTCGGTGAATTTCTTGCAGCGTGGCGCGCTGCGTGGCTCACCCTTCTCCAAATATCCACAGCCATTTCTTAGGCACCAAATTTTGATACCAAAGCGTGAAGAATAAGTTCAAAAAATGCTAATTACTGAAAGAAAATAACATAACAGTACTGTTGACCGAAAATTTAGAGCATCATTTTTTGACACCTAAGAAGCTGAGCAGTGGTTTTAACATGGTTGCACGATTCGCCCTTTTCAGTAGCAGATTGAACTGCCAATCAGATGTTTCTTGGAGTCTTATTGACCAATATTGCATGATACTCACATTTCTTGCTGCTTGATGTTTCTCTTCTATCCTTAAAAAAATATATCTAGTTGATCCAGTATTGCCAGTGTATTTCTTTTTTTGTCCATGGTCATTGCCCCTTTTCTTATCACATTCATTTCGTCGAGGGATCTTCCATGCACGAGCAATGCTGGTTTAAACCCGGCAGGCTGCTGCGGGAACATGGCCGTGAATTGAAGAAATTCCTGTGGGCAACTCAGACGCGGCCTTTTTTGGGAAACAAAATTGCATGGCGAAGAAGTGGGTTGAGCCAGGTTGGGTATATGATAAGAAACTTGGATAGAAACCATAAGAACTCACGCACAACCAAGGATAATACCGATATCAAGTGGTCATCTGCAGAAATGGTTGTTGATCCCCAAAAGAATGGGAACTTCCCAAGACCTGGAACAAAACCCCCACTCAACGGATGGAATGCATTGCAGGTCATTAGCAGGTCATTGCATGGCTTAGACATCGCAGGTGGTTCCGAAAATTGACCATGCCCATGCCATATTCATATCCAATCACCTCTGCAGCTGATTCGCAAAGTACTGGCTTTTTTTCTCAGCATGCTCACTGCGTTTAAATATTTCCACGAAAGAAATCACAATATGTTGATTGGTTGCTATTTTTCTTCATCAACTGTATATATATATATATTTATATATAGGTTATATGATTATATATACGTTATATATGATTATATATTGTGTTGTATCCCAGTTGCATGAATCTTTGTGAGAACGCCCCCCATGGGTCAGCGACTTTTCAGGCCCAAGCACACCTTAGAAAGCATGGAGGACTGCTCTGTTGGGAGGTCACAAAAATGGCTCTCCTCGGGATCAGTGAACGTGTTGGACTGTGTTTCGTATATTTTGTTTAATTATATATACCCTCTGGGTATTTGTCACATAGCCATGGTATAGATGGCCCATAGAAATAGATGGTTTACCGAACTTAAAAATGGTGGATCTTTCCATGGCTATGTTAAATAACCAGAGGGTAGTATGGGTTTGTAAATGGCTTCATCCACCGATCATATTAATGAGTTCGTAGAATGGTTTTTCGCTCACGGATTTAAACAACAGATCCGGAGGTTAGACCAACAAAAACAGGAAAATCACTCAAAGATTTGGAGATGCTTCGCCAAGACAAATAGAAATCGGATGATGTAACCAGGAAATTGTGGCGCGGACATTGGAACTCAACCAGGCAAAATGGGAGTTTAAGACTCCAAAATGGGAACATCACCAAGTTTGACAACAAAAACATGGTGCACAAAACTAGGGCCCGTTAGAGCGGACGTGAGCAAAAACCAACAGAAGCTAGGGGTATGTTTCTGGTCAACAAATGTTCAAGACCATATGCACACCTGTCCATGGGGAGATGGATAGCCCATGGGATTGATCAACATCGAAGTTGGTCTTTTCATCACAACCTCAAAGAGGGATCCTATGCTCCATCGCTGTCCATCCAGGACTACCAGTTGCTGTTTGGTGAAGATGCCTAAGCTGGGATGATGAAACTGAGATGCGCACCGGAGCGCACCGGCTCTACTTGTTGGCCCATTGAACCCCAACCAGATGTTGGTGATGTTGGTAGGTTGGATTTTGAGTGTATTGATCTTACAATATGCAACTAGTTATGTATGCTATATGTAGATATGTTGCACGAATTCATGTTTTTCTTGGCTGTTATATTTTTCAGATTTGGGTACTCATGCCATCAACAACGAGTCGTTGCATTTCCACTTTCCAACTGAGGATCGACCACATCATCGTTAGTGCCGGAATCTATTACGTTCTTTACCAATTCTTAGGGGGTTACTAAGGCTCACCGAGTATACACCCATTGTGTCTATGTTTTGCCATGTCCAAGCCGCTCCTTGCAGCATCCCAAACTCGCCAAAAGCAGCAGACCATTCAGCGGCATGGCCAAGCCAATCCGTCGCCGTGTGGTTTCGCCGCCGCGCAAGCGACAGATGTCTCACCAGGTGCCACATCAACAGGTGTGGCGAAAAAAAAAAGTGTTTCTTTCATTTTTTTGCCCCCAGAAAAATTAAAGAAATCAAGAAAAATCAGTACCCCTTTCTGAAATTCCAGATAGATTTTGGCCCAGCTTGGGTCCGTTTCGAGCTGCTGCTTGCACAAGCAGTTGTGCGTGTTGACCAACCCTCCTACGGACCAAACCTTTGCTGCTTGGTGGTTTCAAGTTGTGCTTTCCCCCGATGATGGGGTCATCATAACCATTTCTACTCGTAAACCTCTAATGGGGATGGTTTATGGCGGGCTTACCACTTTGACTCACAATTTCTTGGGGGACTTGAGAAATCACCACTCAGTTTGCGATTGTGGTAGGAATTTGCCAACGCCTCCGTCATTGAGGCGTTTGTTTCACCGTGCAATCTGCACAACCTGAGCCGAAAAACTGGCGCTCGCAGCTAAGATGGCATGACATGGGCACAGCTGCAACCTAACATCTTCGAAATTGAAATTTGATGTGGTTTGTTCCAGGGCATTTTCCTTGGGATTGGCATTTGCCTTGGGATTTAAATATCACGAAGCCTGTCTTCTGCTTTGGATCCTGAGCTTCCACGGAAGGCCAAAAAAAAACACGCCATGGCCATCCCAGTTTCAGCCAACGCCTGGGGTTTGAAGGATGTTGAAAGATGGGGGTCAGGAATGTTGATATACCCATGTGTAAATTTTATACCAACTAAAGGGGTGATGAAAGCATTGGGTTTGCCTCAAGATGTTTATGTTTGACCCTTCTCCACATCCTGTGCGCCGGGCTCAAAGCAACAGCTGCTTTTCGAAGTTAACGAAATCCCATGGCAGCACCATGGCAACCTCTGCAGATGTGTAGTGTTGTGCCTGTAAAGAAAATGCCCAAACAACTGGATGGAGAATCGATGGATAAAGCCTCGAAACATGGCTTGCATGGTTTGTTCTCTGAACTTGGAGGATTTGAATTTGTCTTGTCAGAAAGGCTGCCAAAAACATCAAGAACTCATTGTTAAAAAGAATCAGCTTGCAAAAAAGCCTTTCCAGTAGATACAGCAAAAAGATCTCCGCACGAGTCGCGAGTTCAGCGGGAGCCGATCACACGATCACACCCTACGCGGCCATGAAGGTGCCAACATGGTGAAATTGCCCCATGGTTGGATGGATAGATCGGAATGTTTGATGGTGAAGTTCCCATATTTCCTGTGTAAGTCACCAGTTTTTGATGTCTGTGGATCATCCATTTCTCTGCTTTAGTAGACGAAGGATACCAGTATCTTTTCAGTGGACCGGACCCAAGAGTTTCGCCCGAGGATTTTGGCGATTAAATGCCAATGGTTGCAGGTTTAGATTGACATGTTTCAAAATATCCATATATATATAATTATATAGATATAAATATAGATATAGATAGATAGATGGATGGATAGATAGATAGATAGATAGAAATTCAAACATATATATATGATATGATGTGTATATTTTATATATATATATATCCATTTTTGCTGATGAAATCCCTGTGTTGTGTTAAATTGCTGGCATCGTTCAGATCCAGTCGCAAAGCTTTGCAGGGAGTTAGTAGCGAAGCCACCAACACGGACAAGATGCGTGCGTGGCTTGGGCTGAAAACTTGGGGACCTGATTTTTATCGGATTTAACCAGGTTTCACCATCAAAAACAGGGATGAATTGATCTACAAACTGGGATTAAAACTCATAAAAACCAGGCTTGGCGAAACTGAGACTATCTGGTGTTTTTGGGGCGATCCGGAGCAGGTATCTTCGCTATCAAATGGTCAGTTGGAGCTATGAATATAGTTTCCCAACCACAAGATAGCAATCCAACATTTTGGACACAAATATGTTCCTAAAAAAGGATTTCACCGTGCAAGAATAGGGATTAAACAATCAAGAACTGTGGAAGCAAGCTGTTTTTCCTGAAAACGGTTTTAACCATCAATAAAAATTATAATAAGGAATATATATATTAAATAACAACCCAAAATTGTGACAGCACTATACATGTTGACCAGAAAAAATGAAGATGTTGCACCGTTGCATCACCTACAAACGCGATTTGATTGCGTTTTGCCAAGCAAAATTGGGATTTGAGTATCAAAGGTAGAGATGTCAACCTTAAAGAGGCACAAATCGGGAATTTGCCATGGACAGAATTATGTTCTGAACGCTGACATTCATGGAGCTCAGAAATTTCACCATTCCACTATGGACAATTCCAAAACCTGCGCGTGTCAACCTCTGCAACTCTGATGGGTCAAATTGGCAGGCTACTTGGCCGTTTTTGGTGGGGTATACTCTACCCATTTATCTTGTTTAAGCTTGAGAATTCAGGATCTCACCAGCCAAACTTCGGTTCACCAAATCATCCTTTTCCCCCTGGTAAGAAGCCTTGACAATTCTCTTCTATATTTGATATGCTCCCTTTGGTTACACAGGGTGTCCTGTCATGATTAGAAAGAATGGGTTATTGTACCCGCAGAATCCCGTCAAACCCCACACAATCGGCAGCCAGGCACCAGATGAAGGTGAAACCGACGGATGGCCTTCGACACGAGGACCGGCATCTAAATGTCCCAAACGACCGGAAACGACCAATCGAAATTTCCAGAAATGTTGGGAAAAACGCCAAATCCATGTTTGGGATATACGTGTGACATCTACTGTATTTATGATTATAATAATAATATATATATATATAGATATAGATATAGATATACATACATATATTCATTTGTCGCTTTTACAGCTCAGATGCAACTGGATCACAAGCATTGCCATTGACATATTGCCACTGACATGGTTGAAAACCTCTTGAGATATAGATATGAATCATCATGTTTGGTGTGGGTATGGGATTTGTTGGCCAAGTGTATGATGTGGGTCCCTGTTTGGGCTGATCATCCCGACGAAGGTGTTGTTTTTCTAGGCGGTTGAAACATGTTGAAACCCCCAGCCTGTATTGTTCGTTCAGTACTTGGAGGATCATCCCACTTAGTGCTTGACACTTATCCATTTTTGGATGGGATAAGCCACTTCGGGGACTTACTAACCAGTGTTATGAACCACTTGATGCATAAGTCGGGATGATCCTCCCAACTTTATATCAAGGGGTCCTAAGTCAATCTAAGTCCATATGTTTCTTGAAATTTGGGTAGCCGCCAAAACCATTGCTTTCCATCTTAAACATGACCAACTTGGATGAGTACTTGGGGAAACCTGGCTGGAAACCATCCCCAGTTATTGGGATATCTCACTTGGTTGAACTGCGACATCACCAGAATATGGCCTAAGTTTTTATGTCATAACCAATATTTTAGAATATCACTTAGAATAACCCATATAAAGGCCTAATCACTAGCCTATGGTTATTTGGTTTCTTTTAGAATATTCGCCTATAAGATGGCCTACACCCAGGACATGGACCTTATGGTCTGCACAGACTTGATCGACCAGGCGGTTGCTGAAAATCGGGGACGTAGTGTGTAATACTGGTTACCTAACCCATAACTGTTATGGTTATCCACGAAGTTGACGAATTTAGCCAATGAATAAGGATTTAACCATGGGTCATGGGCCATAGAATATTTACTGGGTAAACCCTACGCTTATGGCAATTTCGGGAAAACTGATGAGAAACATTGATGACTATTCTTCTTTGAATGGCGGTTTGTTTGCTGCGATGAACCAGAGTTCAAAACCATAAAACCCGGCTGGTTTTCTCCGGTCATCCGACTGGGGCTGGAGAGTGCCCCAAGTTCGACGGAGTTCCCACTAAAACCACCATTGCAGGGATTTCCCAGCAATGTTTGATTTCCAAAGGATAAGGGAACCTCTATGAACCACTAGGTTTGGGACAATGTTTCACAACCAATAGGTGAAGAGTGGTATTTGGTGGCTCACCCAGTTGGTAACTGGATTTTATTCCCACTTACTGGAGTGAACTAATCCTACTAACCCTCTACTTTTTACTCGGGCTTTAACCCACATACTGGAGTGAACCACCAAGTACTCCTCAGATTGCCAGTGTTGAAGGGCCTTGATTTGATCTGAATACCATTAAAAAACACGTTTAGCACCAAAAGTACATGACAAAACGATCTACATAATCTATCTACCATGTTGTTACATATTTATATCCGATTTACGCCCCTGGAACGTCTATCCAAGCCCATGCTGTATACCCAAATATTTTCCATTGTATACCCATTATGCAAACTTCTGATCATGTAATCATAACTGCTCATTCCCTGGTAATTATCATCATTGCCATTCATTCTAGAAGCATTATCTTTCCTCCACACCCAATATTGATATATGTGTGCTCAACGGATAATATCTTGTATATACACTATGGCATCTACTATATTATATAGATTCATCTGTACAAATATCCCATACTTTAGTATCCATGAAAAGAATATCATTTTACAACCCATAAGTCGCAAGCTAATTACTATAGCAATTGTTTAACTTGTTTGCCATGGGTATAAGTTATAATTATATGGTTCTTCCATTAACTATAGCCATTCATAACCATTATTATCATTGTATATATATATATCATCCTCTATATATATATATATCATCATATTTTATATCATCATCATACATATATGTGTGTTTTGCCTATGTTAATATCTAACAACCCATGAAAATAACGGCGCCATGATTTTTCATCACATCCCCCGACGCCAGTCCCAAACTTCGGTGTTGAACGGCAGCGTGTCGCACGCCTCGGTCTTGGAGGTGCGCCAGAAGTTGAGCAACAGAAATGGAATGTTAGGGGTGTTTGAAGCAACGAGTTGATTGCATGGATCTAAAAAACCTTTTATATATATACATATATATATTACTTGTGTATAAATCGTTCTACTGGCAAAGATGGGGATTTAACTCAGAGTGGGAATTAGTCAACAGATATTGGGGATTTGACTGATTGAACCAACAAAGTTTCGGAGACATGAGCTATCATGCAGGGCGCAAACACGAAGGCTAGACCTTGGCGAGTGTTAAGTAAATCAGCAACTTTGGAGAATTTTATGCAGAGTGTCCTAATGGTTGCCATGTATTTTTCCTGATTCTCGGCAAAAAGCTGGTGTATTGCCATCAGTAGCTGGATCCATCTTTGGGACATGATTCTTTGGTGAATATCCAAGCTGAATAGAAGCTTGAGATTTAAAGCCAATCGGTTTGTGATTTCTCACGACCAAAAAGAAGACCACATTAAGACTTAGAACAGGGAAACACGGGGATGGTGATGGCTTTTTTCCGCAAAGAATGCCATGCACAGCTGAAAGATGGCTATCCTCTGGGACCAGATGGTTTGGAAGATCCAGCACCTGACAGGTGTTGGCAGCCAATCCAGAGGACAAGGCGGTTGTGGGCTGGGAATTTCGCCGATGCGAAAGGTGACTGAACATAGCAATGCAAAATCTCCATGTTCCATTGCTAAGTCATAGCAAATCATCTATAAAGGGGATTTTCCATTGCTCTGTTTGTTTATTAGAGGCAAATCTCATGGGAGATACCCAAAAATGATGTGCATGAATTCAGAGATAAGAACCTGTCATGAATAAAGATGGTTTGAGTAGCCAGTTTCCATTGTCTTCGACATTATTACACACTGTGATGCTGTTCTTCACAAATCTGAGACCACGTCAACAGCAAGGTTGTATGGATCATACCCGCTTAGAACAGAACATTGAACAAAAAGGGCATGAGATCGACCGAAAATCTGCACATGGCTTCAAATCAAAGAAGCATGCTGGATAGATATTGATCACCATGACGACTCTGAGAATGGCCGTAACAGCAATCATGGAATCCCATTGAAATCCCTCATTCCAATCTTATAAAAATGAAGATTTTAAGCATTTGAGCATTTGCCATATAGTCCCATTGATTACTGATTGTCCAATAGCCATAGTTTAAATATCCCATCATTATCCCATTCAGAGTAACTGTTAATACCAGACATTTCCATGTAACATCATTATCCCTATTATTGAAATGTCTGGTATTCAAACGGATAACAATGAATCCCAGATAATTGTAATTCAAATCCCTCTGGTAACATCATTATCCCTATCATTATCTCTATTTTTGGATTATCCGTTTGAATATAACAGTTAATTCAAATCCCATTGAATAAATATAACCATTTGCCATATCATATAACCTATTTATGTTCCCATATTCTATTTATAAATCATATAACCATAGTTTTCTCCCATTGAAATCCTTCCATGATTCGGTCCGATGATTCGGTCCGACGGTCCCAGGCGATGGCGTCAGATGCGGACCCGCAGATGCTGGTGAAGGTGGTCTTCAAGGACGCCAAGATGGCCACGACGCCGGCGATGTTTTAATGGGAATGTCATGGGGGAATCTCATGGGAATATGATTGGATGTGTATATAATAATAATGATCATGATAATGATAATGATCAATATATATATATATATGTATATATATATATACATATGGTGTTGTTTTCATGGGAAGATGGCAAACATGATACACGTAAAGCCATAAAAACCTCCATGAATTTTCATATACCTCATAGTACTTGGATTTCCACATGTACCATGATTTGACCCAGCATATATAATTGGAATATACCACTTGCAACACTTGAGTTAGCAATTGAATTTAGGATTTAGCCCATTATACCCTCTAGTAAATTAATATAGACTGTGGCAGGTATACAGGGCTGGAAGATGCGTGAAACCATTAAAAAATGGGTTATAAAATCAAGGCCGAATTGTTAATTTACCACCGGGTACTGTGCTTTTGCAAGAGGTATAACTCCATTTACATTCCAGGGATCATCCAAAGAAATGCTCCAAATTCCCCGGGGTGGTTGGGGGCTGCTGCTTCACTGGGAAAAGCCATGGCGATCTCGTGCAGCTTGCAGCCGGCAAAATGTGGGTCAGATATTTCAAAACCAGTGGAGTATGGATGTGGTTATTACCATTCACCACAGTTACTAATGGGTACTGTATAGTATGTTATTACCACATTTATTATTACCAGTATAGTATGTTATTACAGTACTTCTCCAAGTAATTGGGTTGCTCATGGGGTCAATGTTGAAGCAAATCCATCCCACGGGTGCCAAAAATCTGATCTCAACCTGTCCGACAAATTTCGCCCTCTTTTCCAAGCTGGGATAGTGCCTTGACCAGTTCTGTTTGATGATTTGGTCACCATTTCACTTCGGATTTGCTGAAACAGACTGTTTGGTCCCATTGGTATGTTCACACTTATGTTCACACACCCTGACGACCACGTCCTCACGGCTGTGAGTTCACTCGTAGCGTTGTTTCTCGAGTTTCCATCGGGACCGGCACGTTCACCATGGCCAGCCTGGCCAGCCTTCCTGCATTGCGCAGCCTCGAGTTTCTTGGCAAGAAATTGGATGGAACTGGGTTGGTTGTTGATGTTCTATCTATGTAAAATGGCCATAGAGTTGTTATAGTTTTGGGTGTTGTTTTATATTGTACAGAAAAAACTTTTGCCATAAAATCTCCATGAAACCTCCTTGGGTGACCATCTCAGGCTACAACCCAGTGATGCCATGCCCATGATGCCCGTGAATCAGGCTGTTGACCTCCAAAACTGGCTGGTCTAATACTGTGCTTCATGTGTGCAGGCATAGATTGATAGGTCCATTGGAATTTTGTCATGTGACTAAAAATTGAACCATCCGAATTTTGGTCCCAGTCACAAGTTCAGGTGGGTTTCTCCCATGTTCAGTTGGGGTGTCGCACTGCCAATCCTTGGTGCTCCTTGCCACGATGAGGTCATTGAGGAGTGATGAGACCATTGAAGGCGAAGAAACGGGGATGCATCCCTGTCGGAACTGGTAAGTTTCCCTTGTCTGGGTACCCGGTAAATTTGTTACAGTTTGCTATTGAAAATATCCCTTTTATAGTTGATTTACCTATTCAAAATGGTGATGTTCTATAGTTTTTTGATAGTTGGTTTACCAGTGAATCCTCATATTTCCGGCGAACTGATCCTCAGCTCCGGGGCTTTTTGAGTCGATAGCGACGCATGTGTTGCATAGATCTCTTCCTTTCCGCTTGCACAAAATTTGACGTGGGAGAGGATATTGAGTGGGAAAACCGCGGTTTTTCATCCATTGATCAGGGGACATTTCAGAGGCAGTTTCGATTAAAACTTCAGGGACGATCACTGACCCCAATGTTTGCGGCGAACATTCAGGGCTCACCATTCACAGCTTAGCTTCGAAAATCATTGGGATTGTTTTTAAGTTCTGTTAAGATTCTGTAGATTCAGATTGCTAAGATTGCCAAGACCACTAAGATTATTAAGCTTATATTTGGATTTTAGGATCATGACACTTCTTAATTAGTTTTCTATTAGTCAAATCATCATGATAGGAAATTATAGTATTTATCATCAAAAACCTTGGCGTTTAACAGGATGAGTCGGATGTTGGCGATCCATATAAAGCGAAAATCGTCTAATCTTAAGCAATGAAAAGCCAATCTATCCGCCTCCCTTCACCAAGCAAGCATGTTTCCCCTAAACTTTGGATAAGTAGATGTATTCCTTGTTTTGTTTTTCATCAATAGCGATATAGCACCCCAACCATTCAAGAGAAAGTATAATGGCCAATTTATAGTTGATTTACCTATCAAACCTGATGATTTTCCATCGTTATATTAGTTTACCAGAGGGCAACTCATTTTTTACATCACATTTTTCTAGGGAATCTCCTTGGCCCATTTCGACTCTCGCCAGGCGAAGTGGTGTACCGCATGGGTGGTCAATTCTGGCCCTCGCGGTGCTTCGCGCGCTTGACGGGCGACTTGTTGTTGATCCAACGGAGCGGCAAGCAGACGCTCGAACCAATTGGATGGGGCGAAGATGGGGAGTTCATAGGGTTTTTAAAGGGCATTTAAGGGGGGTTCAATGGAAGATGACGGCTGTTTGTTTATTGAATGGGATGTTGCAGGTTAGTTATCTAACGTCATCTATGGGATTTTGATTTGGCATATAAAGCAATAAAATGCGATGGGGATTTCAACTCAATGGATATTGATGGAAAAGATACGAAAAGATCATCGTTAAAAAAACTGACTGCTGAAGTGTTGGGTTATGGATTGATTTTGAGGCATGTGTAAGAATCTGACGTTTCCTTGACCTAGGAGTAGCGATGTCATGAGGATGGAAGATGTGTCATAGTCAGGATGTCAGAAATCATTGATATCCTATCAACACCTGTTTCCAGTCACTTGGGAATATAGTGAACAAGTTCATACTGACTTCAATGAACTTTACACATTGTGGTGCAGATAGAGATGGATAGTACAAATGCACCGTCATAATGGATGCATCACATCATCTAGTCATCATCATCTAATCATGTAATGTATCACGATAAAACTATCACGGTAATTATCCTTTTCCAGAGAAAGATGTGGGGACTTACAACGATCTCATTGTAAGTGATGGCTAGTAGAGGGGAACGTTTCTGAATTTGAATATATCACAAGTTTGTCCGGCTCATCTAAGCACAAACCACATCACATTGATTGTTAATGTCCACCCAACCATGATCTAATCAGAATAGCTTTTGACTATCATTATTTTCCGTTATTATGTGCCATTAGATATTCAGGTTAACTATATCCACATTGTTAGCCATAAATCACATGATCAATGGAAATGATTAGTGACTATATCCCATATTTCTCAACATAAATCGCTAACGATATCTTCCTCATTCAACTATATCCCCTTCTAAATGGGGGATTCGATATATGGAGGTACCCCAAAAATGGATGGTTTATAAGGGAAAATCCATCACGAAAAAAAATGATTTGGTGGCACCCCATCATCTAATCGCCAAGTCATCCACCCCCTTCAGGGAAGCAGCTGTCACGCTGCATGGCGCTGAAGTGATGTTGCGCTCACAGAGCACTGTGTGCCACGGCGATACGGCATGCCACGGTGATACGGCGATCCCGTTGGATGCAGACCTGTGGAAATATGGGACAAAATAGGAGATTGTAACAGCGGATAACCAACATTTTGGTATTTTGGGGCTTGTCCAAAATGGGGTACCGCCAAGGTGTAGCACTTTTTCATGACGAACACGCTGACAGTTGTTGAAATGCCCAAATCTATGTGATAATATGTGATATAAGTTATGATGTTTTTCATGACATGTTACATCGATCGTGCAGCCTTCAGTGCTGAACTGATGATTCAACACTATGGCTTCATCCCAATCCCGTCATATTCCCATGATATTCCCATCATAACCATCAATCTTGTCATATGCCATATCCCAGACCATCAAAATTCTCATATTTTCCCATGCTATTCCCATCATATTCCCGAGTCATCTCCTCACGCCAAAACGACTTTTGGACGCCATGGCGCCACTGAAAATCACGGTGCAACTGGCCATGACCGGCGAGAAGTTGATCGAGCTGGAGCTAGAAACCACGGATACCTTGCAGCTTGGAGCAAGTAGAGTTCCAGTGAAATCGGCATAGTTCAGAATGTGATACCCCAAATACATCAGAAAAATGCATGATATATATATATACATATATATATATATATGTATATGTGATTAATAATGGAATATGTCCTGCTACTTGCAGATTATAAATTATATAAACCGCTTAGCAAGTAGATATATATATATATAACCGCAGTTATAGGTTGTGGTAAATGGGGTCAACTATCATCGAATAAAAACATTGGATAAGACAAGAATCAGGGGCTAAGCACGATGAACTAGATACCAACCGCGCCGAATGGGCCTGCGGCTGAAGCCTCATAAGCAGGCTACTTTAATCCATGGGATTGTTTACAAACCAGCCTTTTTTTGCAGGGTATCCAGGATTTTTTTTATTTGAAAAAATAAACTTTCTGTTGGTTAGCTAAGGATGCTTGGCGATAGCTACACTGGGATATTGACTTATCCGGATCCAGGAGATGTTGTTGGTTGGGTTTTTTCACAGCACAAGTTGGCGGGCAGCAACTGATGCGGAGCTGTATGCTATACTACCTTGATTGGATTCATCTATCTATGGCGAAACTTAATCCAACTTGTATCCCGATCCGGAATGATTAAGTTTTTTCTAGCTCAACGGCTGAAGCTTGAAGTTTCTATCTCCTTGGGATTGTAGTCCCTAGGTTTATTGGATTGTAATTTTAGCCATATCTCCATTGAATTAAGATGGAATGAGATGGTGATAGGGTGTCGGCTTTACATCTGAATTAGAAAGTACGCATACGTGATGTGGATTTTGCATCTAAGGACTGAAAGGACGGTTGATTTGAGTGTTGAAACCACCCAAGACAAAAACATAATATTGGAATCCGAATTTTAGTGGCTTAAATCTACATTTTCCACTATATCACCGCGAAAACCCCGGCAATACTAAATATGTATTGGACGGACAATGGTTTTTGGAAAATGATGGACATTGTTAAAAACACACGGTAAGCGATGGGACCTTCCCAAATTAGCGATACCCCTTTTCAAGGTTATGTCATTGTATTTCTTTAATACCCACATTAGCGATACCCAAATTGGAAGTTGATTCTGTGAATTATATATGCATAAATGTAGCAGTTTCCTGCAAGCGATACCCCCCAAAGTTTATCATATATCATCATTGTATAAATGTGTGGTAAGTGATGGGACCTTCCCAGATTTGTGGATGTCCTTTCCGTGAACATGGGGTTTTCGAGATTGTTCATATGTTTGCTGATTAAGCCACCATTGTTCGGATGGAAATCCGCAATTTTTCTCGACTTTCATCGAGGTTGACCCTGCGGGAAGGCATCCGCACCAGTACTGTGGTGAAGGAGCCGTTCCGCGTGATTTTCAAGGCTCCCGGTGGAAAGCTGAAGAAATGGTGATGCAAAAAATGGAATTGGAATGGTGCTTAGGGCCAATCAAAAATGGCGGATTTTTTGCGGAACTGGAGATATCACCAACTATGGGAGTGTAAGAAGAATTAGGCTTTGAAACAAACAACAGGTGGGTATGAACTGTCCAAAAGGAATCGCTTATTGCCAGAAGAAATGCCAGGACACAACCCAAAATACTGAGGATGCAATCCGGACCCAAGAAAATGAATGGAACATAATGGTGGACAAATGAGCCCCTTCTAACTGGTCAAAACGGTGGTGTGAACATGGTGTTTATCCGGTGAACTGCCCAATCACCTTTCGTTGGCTCACGGCATCTCATGGGAGCGTTTCTCAAGTTTAAACACCATTTGTTTCATTCTTATCAGCTTACTGGTGCTAAACGTCGGGATTTTTTTTGGGAATGATCTACTGGCTAACTATCAATAATCATCCCAGCAACCCCCAGCAACCATCCATTCCCTGCGTTTAGCACCAGTAAGTCATGGCAGCCGTAAACCACCATGGGATGGTAAAATTCCTACCACTCAACGGTGATCAAACTGGGGTCGACGCCAGGCACATCCTTTGACCGGTCAAGACACCTTGGAAAGCGCTGGATTGGCCTCGGGTGCTGTGGCGATGACAAACGTGGTTTTCACTGTTTGAATTGCCCATTTGGGGAGTGTTTAAACTACCCTGCGGTAAACTAACACGGCTGTTGAAAATTGTCATTTGTAGTGGGTTTACCAATTAAACATGGTGATTTCTATAGTTATGTTAGTTTACCAGAGGGTATTCACTGTAGGGGTTCAACCAGCTAGATCAACCGAATCAAGCATTTAAGCCGAAGAATTCACCTGGTTGAGCCTAGGCAACACCCTGTAACAACAATCACCGGGCAAAAATGTTATTTGTGGCTGGTATTTGCCATAGCTGAGGACGTCACAGGTGGTTGTTGAAAATTGCTGATCACTAGCTTTAAAGCGGATAAAATATCATATCCGTAGCTTGCACTCGGTATCCACGATTTAGCCAGCAACCAAAAAGGGGATGTGGGCCCAGCCAAATGGTGTTGAAGCGTTATTAAAAAAGGATACGTGGTATTTCACCAGAAACTTCGGGTAGATCTAGATTTGTATAGACATCTGCACACGTTCTTAGATTTATTCTTTAGATGTACATAGATATATTTAGATTTTGTGTTTATACATGATTATATATGGCCTATATATGGCCTACGTATCAATGTTGCAGCCAAGTCAAAAGATGCCATGACAAAGCGACGCCAGGAAGCTGACCAGCAGAGTTAACATCTGAAAAGCGAACTTTTCTTGGTAAGCGCGTTCTATAAGCCATTCAGCAAGTAAACAAGAAATTGCAAAATGACAGGGCAGTTGAACACGGTTTGGTTGGCAAAGGATGGCGACTAAGCGGCTCCGGAAAAACATCAAGAGTTTTTTCAACTGGAAAATGCTTAGGTTGCCCGATTTTTTTCCCTGAACTGCCTTGTCATCAATGATTTGCATAGTGATTTGAAGGAGGGATCAGATCAGAACTGAAGTCACAAGTTCCACGAAGTGGCTGTTGGGCCCTTTTCCTCAACCTTTTCCTCAAGGCCTTCCGTTTGAGTAGTCGATATCAAGCGCATATCTCAAAACATGGCGTGCATTTACGTATTTAGCTCTCTGGTCGGATCCCCAACAAATATATAACCAATGTTAATCCCACATTAACTGTTGGTTCCAAAAGTTCATCAGTTAATCACCAGGTGACGTGGTGGACGTGCTGCAGCAAGGCATCCCCGGCTGGACACGTCTGTGCCACGCAGATCACACCAGCGCCCCGGTTTGGTGGGTGATGAAATGAAGGTTTACCCTCTTGGTAACCTGCTATAACTATGGAAAATCACGTTTTTTAATGGGCAAATCAACGAACTAAATGGGTGATGAAAATTCTAAATGAAATAGATATATCATAGTGAAATAGAATTATCTAAATATGATTTAAATGATATCCTATAGGTACATCACTGAGTAATGAAATAAAGGCTTATAATCAACAGGATATAGATTATGGTTAAACCCCATTGTTTTACAATTCCCAATGGATATTTGAAGATATGTCACCAATTTTTGAAAATGGGGATTTAACCATCATTTATAGGTGGTACACTGCCTACCCCAGGTTAATATGAGTTACCCCGTGTACAGTCAACCTGGTTGAAACTGGCTAGTTTGCTCGGGTCGCATCATGTTGCATGGAAACTGCACCCATTTCTTGATGGATTTCCAAAAGGTTGTTTGAGCATCAAAGCTGGATAAAGTTTTCAGGACCATGTCGACCCCTGATTGAAAACCTCTAGTTTTGTTCGGGTCCCCAACAAAGTCACGATTCCAAGTATAAAAGCTACCCTCCACATTACTGAACTTGGGGTCCATCAAGGGAATCAAGGGTTGAAATCCTTGTTGGGGCTGATCAATGGATGACAGATATGCTGGGATACCTTTGGATATGATGGCTATGTAGTGGGGATTGTCAACAATGTGGCTATATCCCATTATAGCTTCAAATGTCACTATATATATACATATGTAAACATATACATTTTTATAATATATATATATATGATACAATACACACTTCGACCATGGCTTTTTCCAGCTTTTCCCACAGCTCCGCTCCGAGGCCAAGAGACCACCGGCGATTACCTGGTTTGGGACGTGCCTCCCTTGGAGGTCCCGGCGCTGGCCGCGCGGGCCTCGCGGCTGCGGATCCAGCAGCGGGACGCGCCGGAGATGGCCGTGGAGTCGCGGCCCGAGTGTTGCTTGGACGCAAAAACCAAGGGAAAACCAGGGGACAAATGGTGGAAACCCGAGAAAAAATTGGAAAAATTGGGAAAACCATAGGAAAATTAAGGGAAACCCTAGGAAATCCTGGAGAATTGGTGATTTTGATTCTGGTTTAAAATGAAGTTTGAGCTGGGTTTTAATGCATACTTTCCGGAATCAAACGTGGCTGGGAAACCCGCTATGGAAATGGTGGATTTATGTCGAAGGGTATTCCCCATGAGTTTCCCTTGAAATCATAGTAAAACTGAGGTGTGGATGTTATATAATGTTATGGGATGCTCATGGGATAACGGAAATTTGATATCAACACAGTAACAAAACGTTGTACATTTATGGGATGTTTGAATAGGATATGTTAGGGGAATATTCCCACTGTTAATGGGAATGAATATTTTCGTGGAATCTCATATGGATACATATTTGGTAGCTGCACGGACATTTCATTGGATGCTGGTGGAATTTTTAATGGGATGCCATTGGATTTACATGGAATTTCATGGGGGTAGTATTAATATATGGTAGGGAAGTAGGGATATGTATGATGGGATTTACCAATAATGATAGCAGTTTTGGGCGGATTTTGTGCAACTTGCGGGGATTGAAGGGTATGCCTTGGGAAGTTTAGTTGGTATTTCGATACCTGGGAAATTTTGAGTCGTGAAACCGACAAAAAGTGGTGGTGAAGCAGCGGAGACGTGGTGAAACACCAAGTTCACTTGGATCTTTTGGGTGCAGGGAGACTTTTAACTATGGAAAATGGTAACCTATGAAAATGGTAATTTTCCATTTACCTTACTTTACCATTTACTCATTAAAAATGGTGATTTTACCAAAAGGCCCCATAAAATCCCGCCAAATCCCCATGGTTTCCCCATGATTGCTGGTGAATCTACCCATTTGGGATGCCGCCCTCACCGGAAAGTAGTGGTAATATAGTTGACCCATATTAATCCATATTAATATAATATAGTTACTTATATAGTTTACTTATGATATAGTATAGTATAGTTACTTATAGTATAGTTTACCCATATAGTATAGTTTACTTTTGATATAGTAGTTACCCTCTGGTAAACTGTCCCATAACGAACTGGAAAGATCCACCATGCTATTAATGAGTAAATCAACTATTTCAATGGCCATTTTCAAGTTCGCAAACCTATGAGTGGCCATTTTCAAGTTCGCAAACTGTTAGTTTACCAGAAATTTAGCTCATTTCGGACCCCATTTTGGGTGCTCAAATCATCCAAATTTCGCATCACACAGCAAGGCTATCCGATTCAAAACCTGCGCCGCGGCGAGCCCATCGGTTTTGGCTTGGGACCCTCGCGGCAAGAGATTCAGGAGCCGCCATGCATGGGCCCATGGGAGACGGATCGAAGTGGCCACCAAATATGACCCCAAAATGATTTGGTTAATGGGTATTTAATGGTCATTAATGGTGATTCTGGTTGGTGGTTTGGAACATGGCTTTTATGACGTCTATTTCATATATGGGATGTCATCCTTCCCATTGACGAACTCATATTTTTCAGAGGGGTAGGTATACCACCAACCAGATATTTTTTCAAAACCATGTTCCCATTTTTGCCCGTTTTTTGTTGTGACTGTTTGTTTAAAACCCCCAATCATCGCTGAGGAGTCCTGGACGACCCCCGAAGGAGCCACAGCAGAGCTGATCCCAGGAGATTCGTTGGCCCATCTTGTGGCTTTAGATATTTTTATGACTAAAGATAGATCCCTTATAAATGATTTTGTAAAATCACAATTTTTTTAATGGGTAAATCAACTATAAAATCACTTATAAATGACTGGTTGGTGGTTTGGAACATGGCTTTTTTGACTTTCCATATATTGGGAATAATCGTCCCAACTGACGAACTAATATTTTTCAGAGGGGTAGGTATACCACCAACCAGTATGCCATTTAAGGGGATGTTAATGGATTTGTATGGTGATTTTTCGAAGGTTTATCATGGGATATGAATCAATCATGAGGAGATGTGAGGATTTAGTGGATTAGCAACGGTATGAGAAAATTACATAAAACAACTTTACAGGGATACATCGAGCAAGCAATCCAAAATTTGGTTACGTCTGAAAATGTACAATCGACGCAAAAGATCTTGGTACTTCAATGATACTTCAATGGTGAAAATTATGTGTGATCATCAAATGTTGGAATACCCTATTCTCAGACAAAGCCAAATGATGACTAGTGGACCATCCGAGGAAAAATTCAGGATTATGACACTTTGCCGAGACGTCTCGCATTAAGAATTGAAAATGTTTGCCCTTACCTGACAGCTGATGGCTGGGGAGATTTCATCCATCGATTCCATTTGTGCTGGTTTTTAACAGGTTACTTCTTAACGGTCATGATATTGCTATGGAATGATGTGGGTCAATACCTACAAAGTATCAGTTTTGGGGGTGAATTGACGTGAACAGCGGATGAAATGAGGGAACTGACCCCCGATCCAGGTGCCACGCGGAGAAGTGGAAACCACGTGAATGCCAGCGATTCCATGAATCATACTAAGATATACTAAGTATTATATCCACAATTTTATCCCCGGTTGCATAGCGTAAAAAGGTGGTGTTTGATGTTGGTGAAATATTGGCTTTGCGCATCCGTTTTTGCGCAGCGGCCAGACAGACTGTGGCACACCAAACATCATTGGCTTCGGAGAGACCACGACAAGTTGGCGACTCGACATGTGAAATCCCGGTTCCCCAATGAGCCATTAAAGTTATGTTTAAAGGCCAACATTGGGAATTTCAGGATCCTGGAGGTACTGTACCTCCAAATTTTGTGGGGATACTCCCCTACATAGCCCTTACATAAGCCTTATAGATGGTAGATACCTCCAATTTATGTCCTTGAAATGGCCATTGAAACATTGATAGTTGAACGGATAATTAGGATGCTATGCCCATTGATGGTTTAATGTCTTATTAGTCTTAATTGATGTTAAATTTATACCCTTGTTGATGGTTTAATGGCTTGTTGGGGGATGTTATGACAGAGGTTTTTGTAACCCATGATAGGAACATGTTAACCTGTGGTATATTTAATGCCCAAAGCGAACTTTTGAGGCCGTTTTGCAGTGGACATTCCCAAATTGCAGTGTTCAAAGCTGATGATTATTACAAGGAGTTATACCGAGCAATATATTTGGGATTATCCAGCAGTAAATTCTGGGAAGCCTGTTCTCAACCAGTAAAATTGTGGGATGCTCGACTGAATCTTGAAAAACAGACCTTACATATGGTCGCCACCTCCGACGGTCAAACTTCCAGGGATTCCAGCGTCTGAGTTGCGCCGCCTTGGGAGAATCCAAAGATGATGTCGCGTCATCTGGGTCGTATGTTGCGAAGTTTCAGCCCTGTCATCAACTGGTGGTATCAGCCGTAGTTATCACACTTAAGCAGCTTCAAAAACCCTACTTGGTTGATGAAAACGGATGTTTTACCACCATGTTTTTCGGGAATGATAATGATCCATGATGGGGCTCCGCATCAACTGACAAGTACAAGAGATCAAAGAAAGCGTCAGCTTAAAGTAAGTAGCTTCTTTCTTGCTCATAACCCCCCATCATGGCTTAGGCTTTCAACCCACTTCTTGCTTAAGTTTCTTAAATTTTATGGTGTGGTTGTTTAAAGCCATATTTCACTGTTTTTTCCAGCAACTTTCTTGGTTTTTAAACCCATGGCGTTCGTTCATGGCTTAGAAACCCCAACTTACTGGTGCTTAGTAAGGAATGGATGGGTTGCTGGGGGTTGGGATGATTATTACTTAGCCAGTGGATCATTCCCATTAAAATTCCCGTCACCAGTAAGCCAGCTCTTCCCATCCCCCAGCTCCCAGCTCCTAGGCCAAGAAGATTTATCACTGCTGCGACAATGGCGATGGAATCCACTGGGATGAAAACTTTTCTTCGTGGACCGTGGGTGGCGATGAGGACTTAGAGCTCTACATCGATGTGCCCTGAGGGTTGGCGACGACAACAAAAAAACATCAAAAACTGGGGATGTCAGACCACCACAAAGTGTGTATATATATAATTATATATAAATATATTTCTGCCTGATTTCACCAAAAGGTTGGAGATAGGCAACTACTGTGTGTTGGTGAAAACGATTCGCCGCCGGCCGTCTGAGTCGCGCCGTTTGAAGCTCGGTGCCAAAGTGCTTGAATGAGAATGCTGTCGGATGATGAAAGTAACTAGTGAGAAACTGTGTTGGATTCTGGTGATATCCCCGTAGTGGAATAGTTCAATGGCTAAGCCAACTACGAAGCATCTAACCCCATGGCACAGATCCTGCAAGGGCGACCTTCTTGTCAGGGCCATGTTTCGGTTGAAATGTTCAAGGGCAGGGTTTACCAATCCGAATTTTTTGACATAAGGAAATTAATTCTACATGCTTAAGCAAAAATATCATGCAGATATCATAAAGACGGTTTTACCGTTACCATATATCAATTTGATATACCGAACAATGATAGGGATCTAATAAAGAGATAAACCAAGAGCAACAAACCGTTTAACCAAGAAGAATGGATATTTAGCGCGGTATTTCACTGGGTGAACCTGCGATGTGTACTTTACTACAGACTACAATCTTTAGCTATAATCCCCTGAAAACAGGGCATCCAATCGATTGGCCATGGTGATTGACACATGTGCCCGAACAGAATTGCGCATGAAAACCACCACAAGTGATATCAGATATATCACGAATTAGAGTGACTAAACCAAGAGCATCATCCTCGCCTTGACCGTTTCACACCTTGACTTTCCATCTCGCGGCACAGTCGCGGGGAGGGATCATCCGAGTGCCCAAAATAACATGGTGATCTCGTGCCACCAATTGGTGATGCGACAGATGCCACACGCAATCAGGATGGACTTAAAATCTGCGACATCGGGATGAGCAACTTCCATTTCTCTAGGTAGAAAATCCATCATGTTTCTGAAGAATCATCATGTTTTGCCCACACATCCACTCTTCCCAATTGTTTTTGCATGCCTAAACTCCCAAATTCTCTCATGTTTTTCTGGGAAAACCATCATTTTCCTATGATTTTCCTCCATTTTTCCAGGATTTCCTTCGTTTTCCCTGCATTTTCCCAAGGGTTTCCTCCCCGCCCTCAAACGGCTAGGTGCGTGGAGGTGCCCGGCTCGCCGTTGCTGGCGCTGCGCCTGGAGACGGACAACGAGGCGGAGAAGTGGTTCCGGGCGCTGCAGAATGCGGCGCAGAAGGCCAAAGGCTTCAAGGCGCGATGGATGGGAGCGATGGGTGTTTAGCATGGGTTTTGTAGGAGGCCTATACATAATGGATCGTGTATATATATATCATATATATATATATATCTATCTATCATATATCATATATTATATATCATATATCATATATTATCAAAGGAAGTTTAGGGGGAGAAACTTCCGTGTTACGGACTTTTAGAATGTCAGGGAAAGAGTTAGTCAAAGAAAGAGTTAGTGAGGGAAAGAGTTAGTTAGGGAAAGAGTTAATTGTAACTTTTAGACTGTCAGGGAAAGAGTCAGGGAAAGAGTTAGTCAAAGGAAGAGTTCGTTAGGGACAGAGTTAATTGTAGCTTTTAGACTGTCAGGGAAAGAGTTAGTCAAAGAAAGAGTTAATTGTAACTTAAACTGTCAGGGAAAGAGTTAGTCAAAGGAAGAGTTAGTTAGGGACAGAGTTAATTGTAACTTTTAGAATGTCAGGGAAAGAGTTAGTCAAAGAAAGAGTTCGTGAGGGAAAGAGCTAGTTAGGGAAAGAGTTAATTGTAACTTTTAGACTGTCAGGGAAAGAGTTAGTCAAAGGAAGAGTTCGTTAGGGACAGAGTTAATTGTAACTTTTAGAATGTCAGGGAAAGAGTTGGTCAAAGAAAGAGTTAGTGAGGGAAAGAGTTAGTTAGGGAAAGAGGTAGTCAAAGAAAGAGTTAGTGAGGGACAGAGTTAATTGTAAATGACATCTTCAAGTTGGATTTTTGAAGGAAGTCTCGCACGAAATGCGTTTTTGAGAGATAGTAGATGCACGAAACCCTATGTTTTTCCATACAAAGTCCGTCCCCGAACCTCGATGATCTACCCCTGCGGTGCGACGGTTGCGAGACGGTCTTGTGTGTGGTCGGATCATGCTCGGATCATGGGCGGATCATTCTCGGATCGGTTCCGCATTGTAAATGTGGTTTCAACTGTGTTTCGTGCATGTGCAGTCGACAGAATTCCATTGTGATTTGCAACTGTAGGATCGTTCCTGCAATGTAAATGGGATTGCAAGTGGTGCTGGTGGATGTTGCCGATGGAATTCCATTGTGATTTGCAACTGTAGGATCGTTCCCGAAATGCAAATGGCATTGCAAGTGGTGCTGGTGGAGGAGTTGCCGATGGAGTTTTGAAGGAAGTCTCGCACGAAATGCGTTTTTGAGAGATAGCAGATGCACGAACCCCTATGTTTTTCCATACAAAGTCCGTCCCCGAACCTCGATGATCTACCTCTGCGGTGCGACGGGTGCGAGACGGTCTCGTGTGTGGTCGGATCATGCTCGGATCATGGGCGGATCATTCTCGGATCGGTTCCGCATTGTAAATGGGGTTTCAACTGTTTTTCGTGCATGTGTGGTCGACAGAATTCCATTGTGATTTGCACCTGTAGGATCGTTCCCGCATGTAAATGGGGTTGCAAGTGGTGCTGGTGGATGAGTTGCCGATGGAATTCCATTGTGATTTGCAACTCTAGGATCGTTCCCGCAATGTAAATGGGATTGCAAGTGTTGCTGGTGGATGGGTTGCCGATGGAATTCCATTGTGCTTTGCAACTGTAGGATCGTTCCCGCAGTGTAAATGGCTGTGTCAAGGTTGCTTCGTGCGGTGGCTGCATTGGTAATACTATTGTCTTTGCAGCTGGACTTCGTAAATTGTATTGGAGTGGCTGCATGAAGGCTGCGACAGTGATTTATTTGTCAGCAGATTTTCTCCATTTTGGCGCTAGTGATTTTCCTTCTAAAAATCCTTTTAAAAAGTGCTTCAAAATCGTCTTTTTTTCGCTCTGGCGTCGAGATCCGGTTTTGGAGCTACAATTTCCGACGCCGTTGCGCGTAGTTCTATTGTGTTTTGCAACTCAGTCTCTGCAGATCGCATTGTAATGGCTGCGTCAAGGTTGCTTCGTGCTGTGGCTGCATTTGTAATACTATTGTCTTTTGCAGCTGGATCTCGTAAATCGTATTGGAGTGGCTGCATGAAGGCTGCGACAGTGATTTGTCAGCAGATTTTCTCCATTTTGGCGCTAGTGATTTTCCTTCTAAAAATCCTTTTAAAAAGTGCTTCAAAATCGTCTTTTTTTCGCTCTGGCGTCGAGATCCGGTTTTGGAGCTACAATTTCCGACGCCGTTGCGCGTAGTTCTATTGTGCTTTGCAACTCAGTCTCTGCAGATCGCATTGTAATGGCTGCGTCAAGGTTGCTTCGTGCTGTGGCTGCATTCGTAATACTATTGTCTTTTGCAGCTGGATCTCGTAAATCGTATTGGAGTGGCTGCATGAAGGCTGCGACAGTGATTTGTCAGCAGATTTTCTCCATTTTGTCGCATTAGTGTTTTTTTGTTCCACGTAGGTTTAGAGCAGTGTGAAGTGTGGGGCGTAAAGAGTGCAGTGTGAAGTGTGAAGTGTGAAGGAAGCAGTGGGAAGTGAGAAGTGTGAAGTGTGAAGTGTGGAGTGTGAAGTTTAAGTTTGGAGTGCGAAGAGTGCAGTGTGAAGTGTGAAGTGTGAAGTGTGAGGTTTGGAGTGTGAAGGAAGCAGTGAGAAGTGAGAAGTGTGGAGTGTGAAGTGTGAAGTGTGGAGTGTGAAGTTTGAAGTTTGGAGTGCGAAGAGTGCAGTGTGCAGTGTGAGGTGTGGAGTGTCGAGGGAAGGACACGGTCGGGACAGGTTGTCTTTGAACTATAGGTCATTTATGTTTGGGAAACTTCCGCCGCCGGCTTGCCCGGGCCTATGTTATATCATTATCATATGTTATTAATATGTTGTTACCAGTAGTACCGCACAAGGCGGTGGCGGAAGTTTCAAAAATAGGAAACCTATAGGAGAAGTTGGTTGTTGTGAATCAGGGATGGCGGAGCGAAGCCGCTGATGGACTGAAAGGTGCTTGATCTCTCTCACTCTTTCTCTCTCTTTCTCTGACTATCTACCTACCTACCTACCTATTTTCTATGTATCTATCGATCTATCTATCTCTCTCTCTCTTTCATCTAAATACCCAATCTATCTATCTATCTATCTATCTATCTATCTATCTACCTCTCTCTCTCTCTTTCATCTGTCTATCTGTCTAGCTGTCTATCTGTCTATCTGTCTATCTGTCTATCTATCTGTCTATCTATCTATCTATCTGTCTGTCTGTCTGTCTGTCTACCTGTCTACCTGTCTATCGGTGGTGCAGTGTCATTCAGTGTAATGTAGTGTAGTGTAGTGGAATGTAGTGTAGTGTAGCGTACTGTTGTGTAGTGTAGTGTAATTTAGTGTAATGGAGTGTAGTGGAGGGTAGTTGAGTAGTCGTAGTTGTAGTTGTAGTGTAGTGGAGTGTGGTGGGGTGTAATGTAGTGAAGTGTAGTGGAAGGTAGTGTAGTGTAGTGTAATGTATTGTAGTGTAGCGGAGTGTAGTGTAGTGTAATGTGTGTAGTGTAATTTAATGTAGTGGAGTGTAGTGCTCAACTACCCTCCGCTACACTCCATTACACTAAAGTACGCTACACTACACAACAGTACACTACACTACACGACATTCCACTACACTATACATTGCACTAACTACATTACACTGAATGAGTGTAGTGGAGTGTAGTTGTGTAGTTCTGCAGTTGTAGTTGTAGTGTTGTGGAGTGTAGAGTAGTGTAATGTACTGTAGTGTAGTGGAGTGTATAGTGTAGTGTAATGTAGTGTAGTGGAGTGTATAGTGTAGTGTAATGTAGTGTAGTGGAGTGTAGTGTAGTGGAGTGT